GTTACAAGGCGCATGTCCCAAGGAGAGTACGACGAAAGAAAGTCCATTATTGCTGCAAGGAATTTATCAAAGATTCATATTCTCATGCACATGTTTACACGCCAGTGTAATATTACATGTGTATGTAAAATCTGCACACGTATTTAAACTTGTTATGAGAACGCTCATACACAGTAGGAAATTTTGCTCCTGGCTGAGGTTGTTGAAATATATATTTACACATAATAATTATGTATTTTACTGCATGTGTAATCCAGGTCGTGAAAAAATTAGCAACAATGCTGTAACACACGTTTTGGATTTCACTGGTTAATTCTCAGAGGTTTATAGTTGTCCTGTACTCTGATACTGAAGCCGGGGCAGGCGGGTAGCCTAGTGGTTAAAGCGTTCGCTCGTCACGCCGAAGACCCGGGTTCGATTCCCGATATGGGTACAATGTGTGAAGCCCATTTCTGGTGTCCCCCGCCGTGATATTGCTGGAATACTGCTAAAATCGGCGTCAAACCATACTCACTCACTCACTGATACTGAAGCCACCCGATGCATAGTGAGTGCCAACGTTCTCCTCTACCGTCAGTGGTTCACGTACCGAATTATCACTGGGTTTCAGAGAATTCTTAAACAAAATGATTGGAATTTCACTCTACCTTGCCCCCATTCTCACACATAACATATGTATTTAAGTCTCAATTTGAGCGTGCAATTTGGAATCCGGTGCAAAAGCGAAATTTAAGTTGAAAAGTAGTTTCTTAGAAAGGTTTATCAATAAAAACAAATTTATGATAATGGGCAATGTTCAGTTTTTAGTGGGGCCGAGCGGGCATGAGGACCAAATAATGCATTTTAAAAAGCCTAAAAGTAGAGAGATTTACTAACCAAGCACCGAGTACTGTGTGAGGGAGCCACCCCACTTTCGGTACGCCAAGCCCTTTCAAGATGTCGCAGTGGCATGTAGGCTGGATGCCAGGAATGCTGAAACATATTTTTCGTCATTTTGACAAACCAATGTAATATTTTGCCCTAGGCACATGAGTGAGTGAGTATTGTTTTACGCCGCTTTTAGAAGTATTCCAGCAATATCACGGCGGGGGACACCAGAAATAGGCTTCACAAATTGTACCCATGTGGGGAATCGAACCCGGGTCTTCGGCGCGACGAGCGAACACTTTAACAACTAGGCTTACCCAACCGCTCCCCTAAGCACATGAGCACGCGTGGTCATGCATTGTTTTTAAAAATCTCACTCTAATTTACTTGAACCAGCAATGTATACTATTCAAGGATGACTTGCTGTTTGATCAAAAAGTCCGACAGTACTTTATCCTAACATAAAGTACAGTTTCTGAGTTATGTCATAATAGGCTGACGTGATCAGGCGTTTCAAATTACCTCCCCTCATGATCTAACGTGTCCTTGGTAACATTGTTCTCTCATTCCTGTCAGTCAAGATGGCGCATATCCACATCGATATTATCGAACAGTAAAATAGTTTCTTTAACGGAGAAACTTGAATAACTGAACATTATTCCCTGGGAAGAATGATGTCAGGGTGATGTCAACCATCTCCCATGCTGCGGGGTTATCTCAAACGTTTTTAAACAACGGCGTCCGTGACACAGCAGCCACGAGGTGGCCATTGGTGTCCACAGTTCCATAACTGTAACCACCAGTAGACATGTTGCTCAGCGTAGGGTATTCAGCAACATACTGTAGTCAAACAAAATGACTGCAGTTCAATTGCTCATCTTCCGCCTTGTTCGTCCCACGGCGACGCCATTTCACGCCCCACGCCGTCGATTCACGTTGCCGGCATCTTCCCGAGGCAAGAGAGTTAACTGAATGTAAAAGTCCAGTTTCCACCCTTGCCGAACTAGGCTGGTATTACGGAGTTACATTTGGGCTGGACTAACGAGTCTATGCATAGTCCAATCAAATTCGCGCAACGAAATCGAAATCCGGTTAGTAAACTGTCGTGGAGATTTCGGTCGATTGCAGGATTTACAAAGCATGTGCACTGACAACTCGTTGTCAACAGATATTTTCCAAGTCTTTTCGTGTTTTTGATGAAGGTGCTCACGTGATGCACTTCGCGATGTAAGACCCGTTTTATCACAATATAGATTCTTGATTATCGATCAGATCGTCTTGACTGGGCGCCGCCATTGTGTTTGAAACAAATGCAAGTGATACTAGAGGTGGAATCTGATTGGTCCATAGGGGAGGCCTACAATTGACATAACTGGTAATAACCACAGGTGGCGCTACGATCGAGCCCAGGAATTCCAGCCTAGTTCGGCAAGTTTTGAAACTGGACTTTTAAAGTCAGTTAACTTCCTTGCCTCGGGAAGATGGTATCATGGACTGAAACTAACTCGGTAAGCACTTCATTTCGTTGCACGGCGCCAATGAGCAAGCTACATGGGGATGAGTCATGGTTGGAAAGATGTCAGCAAACTTTTAAAGGAAACCTTATCCCAATCTCGTACATGTATAATGATATGTGTACATACGAAGTGGATAAGTATTTATGAAAATATTTTTAAATCATTCTTAACTTAACTGTGTTAGTCGGCACAATGATCAAAGGGAGGCAAACAACCACCGCCATAATTGTCAATTCTGGACAATTCAACATGTTAACATATGATGTGCCAACAAAAGAGTTTTTATACCATGCCATTCAGTTAAAATTTCAAACATTTATCATGTACACCACTATGATTGTGTCAACTTAATACGTTTTGTTCCTGAAGATCCGGGGTTGAATAGGTCTTCAGCAACCCATGCTTGCCGTAAAAGGCGACTGTGCTTGTCGTAAGAGGCAACTGATGGGATCGCGTGGTCAGGCTTGCTGACTTGGTTGATGCATGTCATCATTTCCAAATTGTGCAGATCGATGCTCATGATACCAATTACTGGGTTGTCTGGTCCAGACTCGATTATTTACAGACCGCCGTCATAAAGCTGGAATATTGCTGAGTGCGGCGTTAAACAACAAACAAACCTCCTTGAAATAAATAGCAAGTGTTTAAAGGGCAAGTCAACTGAAAACAATGATTGCGATTTTTCGTGTGAATATTAATTTTCCTCTATATATTAAGCCAATTCCCGATAGAAAAAAATGTCATAACATTCGTAGAAAGTCTTTCAATGTCCAAACGAAAGTGCTGAAATCACACGATTGGTGATCGGATTCCTAAATAAAACAATTTGGAGGCGTGGCCTAAAACTTAAAACCTGAGGGTGAAGTCGTGCATGACAAATGTGTTTTCATTGGCTGATATTGACTTTTTAATCGCCCTTTTTACGCTATTTCACTTTTTCAAATTTAATTTTGGTCAAGCATTTGTGATTAAGTATACCCTAAAGTATTAAAATCTGCAAAGTTGCTGCGTAGACTTAACTTGCCCGTTAGGAAGTCTTTGTGAAAACATATTACTAGTTTTGTTTTTTATGATATGTTTGGTTACTATTTTTATATTCCATATGTATTTTAAATGAAATGTGTCGTGTTCTCATTCCTGATTCTGAAGGATCGAGGTACCACATGCAAATTATAATTTGTTTCACCTTCTGGGTTACATTTGTGCGCCTTATGGCAGTGTAGGTACTTTCATCAAGAGGAAGGTATGCTACAAAATGTTTTCGTGCCGTGTTGATCCTCTGGATCAACGTTATAGTGTTGCTTTCAGTTGCTACAATTCACAATCACCAGCGACACATACTGTTGACTATGTGTTACACAATGTACTTGTGGAATGTATGTCTCAGGATTAAACTGAACCTAATATAAAAACGTATATTTAAATCCAACTTATTGCTGCATGGGATTTTTGATGATCACATTATGAACGGTTACAAAAAAAGTAACTTACTTAAGCATAAACTATCATTTTTAAGGGTGTTATTTATGTTAAATTTAAATCGTACTGTGTCTCTTAATGCAGGGGTGCAGACAATTAGGTGGAACAGCCCGTGAGCAGGGCCCTGATTTTTTTTAATTTACGGAACCAATTATTTCAATTTGATTATAAACCCATCTCCAATAACACACAGGTTAACTTAGTCTTAAATGTGCAATGTTAAAATCTAATAAACTTTGCTCTACCCACATGTTAACCCTGAAGTCGTACACCATGGTCACGTCAAAGCACCCAGGGCATGCAATGTCGAGGAATATAACCACACTATATATACCGAAGCCTCCATTTCCGTGATATATCCATGGGCAACACTCAGCACCCTTGCCTGTTGGAGTTTCCTACATGATTGATCATAATTTTTCAGAAATCTAATTTCATCGAGCATTAAGTTGGTACAAAGACGTATGTACATATTTGGTTGTTATGAGAATCAGTTTGAAATTGTGTGATTTAAATACTGAAATAGGATGGTTACAGCAATGAACACCATTTTAAATGCATGAATGTGAGTGGGTGCGTTTGGTTTAGGATGCCAGCAATCTCATTACAATGAGATCTTTCACTCCGAAACGATACATCTCTACAGTAATCTCGCGTTGGTGTGGAAGATCTGATCTTAATTGGACTGGGAAACCAGTATTTGTACGGCGACAAAACTTGGTGTCTTTTATGTGCGCTTCATTTAACATCTAACACAACATCTGCTTCTGTAACATCAATAGGAACACAATCTGGAAGGGATTTGAAAAGATCAGCATTGTCAAATCGAGTATAAAACACGTTTAGGTCATTTGCGAATATAGATTGTCACGTACATTTATTTCTTGCCGTTTTGTTTCAGTTCCAAATTGAGTATAAATTGACGCTTCGACAAGTCTGGCGAACTTTGTTTTCAGAAAACTGTTTTTCAATCTTGTTTTTGTATTGCATTAGAGGTAGGGACGATGAGCATTGTTTGCATTTACTATGAATTAAAACGGTTAAGGGTGCTTAGTTTGTTGCGAGGAGCTACTGTGGAAGAAGTTTAAATGTATACAAGCATTTATTACATAAGCAATGATTTCTCCCTCAGAGAGTACTTCCGGTCACTTCCGGCAGCATGGAGAGCGACGAAGAAACATCAACAAGCGAAAGCCGTGGCAAAATACGTATGTATTTAGTTATAGGTTCTTGAATCAGGACAGAATATGTTATTTTCGAGGAGGAGATATTCTGTGAGGAGATCAGGACAATCAGCTGCGGTGTATCGTGTTGTCAGGCAGTCGATCTGCATCGTCCTATTTTCGACCACCATATTATTGTTTCGTTGCAACAACCACAATAAACTCTTAGTCATGCACATAGATCACCCATTAAAACGTTGACAACTCATATGTTAACAATGTGGGCTCCGTGATATCCCTGACTAAGAACTCAGTCACACTTAATAAGTTAAAATGAAGGAGAAGGCAACGTAAGTGTGTCACTTAAATTGTGCCTAATTCCAGAGACCATATACCGATCAGTCGCTGCTAATTCATTTGATTTTCCGCAATAAAATATGTTGAAATCAAATGATGGATCTTTTGACAAGATTGCATTTTACCAGGCTTGGCTTATAGCACTAACTGGCTCCAGCTGCCAGCTGTGGGTCTCCCTTCACCGATCTCGCATGCCTCGTTGATCCTTAGGGTTAGTTGTGTTAGAGTAGGTTAAATTTACCCCAATCTCTGAACCTAGCCCATGGATCCCCCTGATTGACATGATGAAGCACCCCACATGATCCTGAGAGTTTGGTTCCACTTACCAATGAAACATCCCCTAAACAATCCAATGTAATTCGATAAAATGATAACAATTTTAATCCAGTTTCGAATTTTGCGGAGGAAATGGCTCCTGCTCATGCACGTAAACAATAAAGGTAAACAATATGGTGCTGATCAAATGGTAAACGAGCACCAATGATGCTTATTATTTGTAACTGTTAGGCAACAATGCAGTGTACCGGGTGTTGGTTATATAGCACTTATTAGCTCAGGGTGCTGGCTGGGGGCCAGTGTGGCTCTCACTTCATAGGACCGCAAGTCTGCACATTTTCATAAACAGATGTCAAAGAATGGTTACGGTTCATTAAGAAAGTATCCCTTACGTGAAAATCTACTTGTTTTTGTGTAGTTATCCTTTGTTTACATTGGTTTGTACGGCTCCACGTGCTGTCATAGAAGCCCAACGGAGAACTAGCGATACGGTCACTTTGATGTATAAATATATATTGTCATGCAACTTACCGTCGCAGTTGTAGTAGCATATCTATATTATTATGCAAAACAATATGTAAAGCGCCCACAAATACTTGCATTAGTCCGTTCTATACTGATTTCTGAAAAAGCGAGTTTGTTTACAAACAAGAGAAAAGTCCAGTCACGTGATATGCAAATTAGCCTATGGCAGTGGTGTTATGCTGAGTCACCACTGCGCCGGAGTGTGGGTTAGGTACCCCTTTCCAGTCAAACACCATTTCAGGATCCTTAGGTCTTCAGCAACCCATGCTTGCCATAAAAGGCGACTATGCTTGTTGTAACAGGCGACGAACGGGATTGGGTGGTCAGGCTCACTGATTTCCCAGTTGCATGGATCGATACTCATGATGTCAATCACTGGATTGTCCAGTCCAGACATGATTACTTACAAACCGCCATCATCTAGCTGGGATATTGCAAAGTGCCGCGTTAAACAACAAACAAATCAAACCTATCAATTCAGGATCCTTAGGTTTAGGCACCGATGGTTATGCCATAGGTTTGTGGTGCAAGGGACGCAACTCTGCACTGCAAATTGCGTCGTGTTGACAACTGAGCCACCCAGGCCACCCATATTACATAAATTACAGGCTGCTGTCATGTAGCTGGAATACTGCTGTGTGGGTGTTTTCAGAAACAAACACTTCTCTCCTCAGGTGCGAAGGGGAAGAAGAAGAAGAGTGGTGAGGACTTGCTGGAGGTGCCTGAAGGATGGAAAGAGCCCAAGTTCCAGCAGGAGGACAACCCACACGGTGTCCTGGCAGAGAGCTCCTTCGCAACTCTCTTTCCCAAGTACAGGGAGAAGTACATCAGGGAGTGCTGGCCGCTGGTGAAGAAGACGCTGTCAAACTATGTACGGAGTTTTCATTTTTATGTTCCTACTTTTGTCATGTTTTGTACCCGGGGACAACTTGGGACATTTCACTATAGTGTAGCAGTGCAGTAATGGATAAAAAATTAATGAAATGGTTTAAAGTTTACGAGCTGAAATATACTATTTATGTTTTATAACGGGGGCACGGGTGGCGCCGCGTCTAAGGCGCCGCGATTCGATGTGCAGAGTTGCGTCCAATGGGCACGCCAGAAACCTATGATTGTGGGTTCGAATCCCAGTTCGACCTGATTATGTTTCTAGGTTTGTCAGCACCATACCCGTGCTGGTGAGTTTCACCGAAGTGGTAAACGTATGAGACCTCCATCACTTTGGGCTTTCCTCCCACATTAAGCTGACATGCTGTGATATAACTGGAATACTGTTAAAAGCAGCGTTAAACCCAACTCACTCCCTCACTATGTTTTATTACAAAATAGTGCAATAGCAGTAAGGGTGAGACTATGCAGCAAGGTCACAATACATAGGCCACGATTCCATAAGTATACACAGTATACGCGATACACATATTTAGTTAACGCTAAATCACATGGAAACTTCATATTTCAGAGCAAGTGCATATGGAGAAGCTAGCTGTAGACACATGTTTGTAGCGGCTATTTTTAGTAGTGAACTTTTGATGCCAATTACAACATATTTTGGATATTTCGACTGACGAAAATTGCGGGGTTGGGGTATCATTGAATGAGTGATAAGTAATATGTTTTACGTGTTTCGGTAGTGTATCGTCTTGTATCAATACAGAAAAAAACATATTGTGTATTGTTCCATTGCATGAAAACTTTCGTTGCACCGATGAATCAACAGGGCTATCTGGTGTACATGGTGTACTACACTCCAGTTGACAGACTATTTCCAGTGTTAAGTGCTGGCCTTAACCTTTTTTTGAGAAAATTCAAAACGTATTTGCAGAAAATAATAAATTCTTTATCTATGCATAAACATATCTGTTGACTGTTCTGTTGTGGACTCTTCTGTTGTTGATTGCTCTGTTGTCTACTCTTCTATTGTTGACTCTTCTATTGTTGACTGTTCTGTTGTTAACTCTTCTATTGTTGACTGTCCTGTTGTTGACTGTTCTAGTGTTAATGTTCTGTTGTTGACTCTTCTATTGTTGACTCTTCTGTTGTTGACTGTTCTATTGTTGACTGTCCTGTTGTTAACTCTTCTATTGTTGACTGTTCTGTTGTTGACTGTTCTAGTGTTAATGTTCTGTTGTTGACTGTTCTATTGTTGACTGTTCTGTTGTTGACTGTCCTGTTGTTGACTCTTCTATTGTTGACTGTTCTGTTGTTGACTGTTCTAGTGTTGATATTCTGTTGTTGACTGTTCTGTTGTTGATTGTTCTGTTGCTGATTGTTCTGTTATTGACTGTTCTAGTGTTGACTGTTCTAGTGTTGATGTTCTGTTGTTGATTGTTTTGTTGTTGACTGTTCTGTTGTTGACTGTTCTAGTGTTGATGTTTTGTTGTTGACTGTTCTGTTGTTGACTGTTCTATTGTTGACTGTTCTATTGTTGATTGTTCTGTTGTTGACTGTTCTATTGTTGACTGTTCTATTGTTGTCTCTTCTATTGTTGATTGTTCTGTTGTTGATTGTTCTATTTTGACTGTTCTGTTGTTGACTGTTCTATTGTTGACTGTTCTATTGTTGACTGTTCTAGTGTTGACTGTTCTAGTGTTGATGTTCTGTTGTTGACTGTTCTATTGTTGACTGTTCTATTGTTGTCTCTTCTATTGTTAATTGTTCTATTGTTGACTGTTATATTGTTGTCTCTCCTAGTGTTGACTGTTCTAGTGTTGATGTTCTGTTGTTGACTGATCTGTTGTTGTCTCTTCTATTGTTGACTGTCCTGTTGTTGACTGTTCTATTGTTGACTGTCCTGTCTCCAGAACATCAAGGCAGAGCTGGATGTGGTTGAGGGAAGCATGAGTGTCAGGACCACTCGCAAGATGTGGGACCCCTTCATGATTGTCAAGGCCCGCGACCTCATCAAACTCCTCTGTAGAAGTGTTCCGTATGAACAGGTAGGAAACATGATTGTCAAGGCCCGCGACCTCATCAAACTCCTCTGTAGAAGTGTTCCGTATGAACAGGTAAGAAACATGATTGTCAAGGCCCGCGACCTCATCAAACTTCTCTGTAGAAGTGTTCCCTATGAACAGGTAGGAAACATGATTGTCAAGGCCCGTGACCTCATCAAACTCCTCTGTAGAAGTGTTCCGTATGAACAGGTAGGAAACATGATTGTCAAGGCCTGCGACCTCATCAAACTCCTCTGTAGAAGTGTTCCGTATGAACAGGTAGGAAACATGATTGTCAAGGCCCGCGACCTCATCAAACTCCTCTGTAGAAGTGTTCCCTATGAACAGGTAGGAAACATGATACATAGTCATACATTACTGTTTGTGGTCTGCTCTGGCTCACCTGGATCAAGTTATCATCATCATCCTTGTGATGTTGCATAAATATTTCAAGATCAATTAGTGTCAGAAATGCACCATGATAGGATCACACATTTCTGACTGTGGCCGGTGTACACAAGTCACAAATCAAATGAAGTTAAGCGACATTGGTTGTGGAGAACAGTTGGATAGGTGGCCGTGTTTGGCAGCTTGACTCCTTGGAGTTTCTAGGGCTTTGTTCCAGGCCTATACCGAAGCTCTTGTAACACATGTGGTGTCTCCTTGTTAGGGAAGTGACTTGGTTGGAAATATGCCGCTGCTCACCCAGCAGTGAATGGGTGAGTGAGTATTGTTTTTCGTCGCTTTGAGCAATATTCCAGCAATATCACGACGGGGGACACCAGAAATGGGCTTCACACAATGTACCCATGTCAGGAATCGAACCCGGGCAGCACTGAATGGGTACCCGGTAAATAAGATGGTTATTTGACTGTTAGCGTTGTATCGCCACACAAGCAGTTTGGGTTGTATACACCCCAGGGAGCTGAGAATATCAAGTGCACACAGATCCATTGACCTTGGTAATAATGTAGCGCTTTGAGCATGCTGTAGAGTGTGGATTTGACACATTATAAATATGCTGATAATTATAACCATGTTTCTATGTCTATGTTGCCATTGTGCTACCATAGCCATGAAGACTTACACTTTGTATGTTGTAGGCGCTCCGTGTTCTTGAGGATGACACGTTCTGTGACATTATCAAGATCTCATCGTTTGTCCAGAACAAGGAGAGGTTTATAAAGAGACGACAAAGACTTGTTGGCCCCGATGGCTCCACACTAAAGGTAGAGATATCCTGTATTAGGAATAAACATTGTATTTAGCGAGCCGCAATCCATCAGTCTGTCCGCTAGAGAAACTGCCCTTTGTCAAAGGGAAGCTATTCTAACCCTAGTCTATGAGACATCACGGCCACGGTCAGACGTTGTTGACAGTCTGTCCTGTCATAGCGTTAAGAAGTGCAGTCAGGTGTACACACAGCAACAAAACGAAAAAAGGTAACAATTTGCACATATTTCAGCCAAATCCAACTATTTATATTTGTGGAAAAGATTCCAAGCCGCAGAAGTCTACAAGCACAGATATGGCTAAAGATCCCGCTTGGCTAGGCCCAGTGCAATTTATTGATTTTCGCAATTTATATCTCCGAAGTTGCCAAAACTTGTAAAATGCCTTAGCTACGTCACAGTTAGACACTGATTTTCAGTATATTAGACTGTTCTTTTGATAATGATAGCAATTATCCCAGTAGTTTCTCCAGATTCCCGATGGCTACTTCTGACTTGATCGCTGAATGACAAGGGCAATGCAATGTTTGATTATAAACACTGAAAGTAGTCCCTATACCTGACCTTTGATATTTGCATCTCTATCCGCATATGACCACAACGGATATCGTTTTTTTCCTTTGGCGTTATCCTGCCGAGAAACCCACCCATTATAATATAATGTGAATATATGCATCATCATTATTGTGTTATTGTCAAGTTTGTGTCAGGTTTGCTGTTGACATTGAAAACCAAGTCATTTGTGGTGCTTCATTTTGCTGCATAGAGTTGCCTACCTTAGTTGGGCATGGATGACAGGGGGCGTTGCATCACAGAATCAGATCCTTTGTTGGCACGGTTTACTTTGTCAGTACCGTAACCAAGCTCGTGAGATTTCAGTACGGATACAGCTTTTTTAACAAGTAGAAGTGCTTTTAACATGCAATGTGTATTATGAATGCAAATAGTATTTTGAACAAAGTAAATGTTTTCCCAATTTGCATGATAAGAGCACTTGGTTTAGAATCCTAGATGAATGCCTAGACTATGTGATGTTCGTGTCATGGCTATGTCAGTATTTTTGTGTCATGTTCGCATCATGGCTGTCAAGATTGCCTTGTCATGTTTCGAGTCATGGCTATGTCAGGATTGTCGTGTTTGTGTCATGGCTATGTCAGTATTGTCGTGTTTGTGTCATGGCTATGTCAGTATTGTCGTGTTTGTGTCATGGCTATGTCAGGATTGTCTTGTTCGTGTCATGGCTATGTCAGTATTGTCGTGTTCGTGTCATGGCTATTTCAGTATTGTCGTGTTTGTGTTATGGCTATGTCAGTATTGTCGTGTTCGTGTTATGGCTATGTCAGTATTGTCGTGTTCGTGTTATGGCTATGTCAGGATTGTCATGTTCGTGTTATGGCAATGTCAGTATTGTCGTGTTCGTGTTATGGCTATGTCAGGATTGTCGTGTTTGTGTTATGGCTATGTCAGGATTGTCGTGTTCGTGTCATGGCTATGTCAGGATTGTCGTGTTCGTGTTATGGCTATGTCAGGATTGTCATGTTCGTGTTATGGCTATGTCAGGATTGTCGTGTTCGTGTTATGGCTATGTCAGGATTGTCATGTTCGTGTTATGGCTATGTCAGTATTGTCGTGTTCGTGTTATGGCTATGTCAGGATTGTAGTGTTCGTGTTATGGCTATGTCAGGATTGTCGTGCTCATGTTATGGCTATGTCAGGATTGTCATGTCATGGCTATGTCAGTATTGTTCGTGTCATGGCTATGTCAGTATTGTTCGTGTCATGGCTATGTCAGTATTGTTCGTGTCATGGCTATGTCAGTATTGTCGTTTTCGTGTTATGGCTATGTCAGGATTGTCATGTTTGTGTCATGTTTGTGTCATGTGCTGTATGTTGCAGGCTATCGAGCTACTGACCAACTGCTATGTCCTGGTGCAGGGAAACACTGTGTCCGCCCTGGGGCCACACAAGGGTCTAAGGGAGGTAAGTGGGGATAAGCTCATTGAAAACAGATCTTTTACTCCGATACAATACCTCTCTACGAGTGGATCTGTGGACATAGAAGGTCTGAGTGAATACTGAGTGAACTTTCACTGCTGAATCTAATTGAAGGATATGATTTCTTGAGCCAAGCAGATTTTATTTCTTTGCCATAGTTTTAACCACGAGAATGCCACAGAACAAATATACCCTTGATGGTACTCTTCTTTTGGTGTAAATGCCTTCGCACTCAAGCAAGGTGTATACAAAATACACAGTAATATAATGTACAGCCTTTATCATTTACATTTGGAATTGGCCGCTTAACTTTGTTTCAAGATACAGAAATAAGAGATGCTGGTGTGAATCCTTCGTTCACTAATACCAAGACTTTAGAATCCTAGACCTTCACCATTTTGATTGGTTTAGAAGCGGTCACAGTAAATGAATGAAATGCATATTGACTCTGACCCAGGTCTGACATTTAGTGTGGTGATGTTATGGACTTGAGTTACCATGGTTACTCAAAGGTATTCCAGGATGTGGCCTTCTATAAACCAAAGACAGTCAGGATACCTCCACATTCAAGACAACACAGAAAAATGACAGGCAGTATAATGTTACTGAAGTTGTATTGGAAGGATTGTTTGTAATGACTGTAAATTAATCAAAGAAATCAGATACAGTGTAAAACATACACAACTGGTGCTTCCTATTCTGTGATTTGACAGTCCCAAATCTTGGTTGACTGAATAACACATCCCACGCTGTACATATCACATCTTGCATGCATCGCTGGATTATTTACTCACCAGGTGCATTGACAATGTTTTTGACCAAGCTTTGATCAGAATCAACACACTGTCCTGGCCTGTCACATCTGATTTGTTATCAAGGGAGGTAACTCATGCTGGAATCTGGCTCCATGATACTGATGGGGTTAACCTCTTTGGACAAAATGTCCAGCTACTCTCATCCCTTCATTGGCCTCGTAAATTATTTTTGGTCCCTACATTGTATTATTGTAATGGCTGGTCAAAATCAGAATTGACACCTGTGTGGTCTACTGGATAGAGCGTCTGTCCAGAGGGTGGAAGGTCAGTAGTTCGATCCATGGGCTTGTCATGCTAAAAAAATGTTTAAAGATTATCTTGTTATTACCCTGCCTGGTGCTTGATCTCGAAAGGGATAAAACAAGTAATAGTCCCAGGATCAGGTGGTCAGACTCACTGACTTGGTTGATGCATGTCATCCATCTCAATTGCATGGATCGATGCTCATGACGTCAATCACTAGATTGTGTGGGCCTGACTTGATTATTTACAGACTGCCCTCATATAGCTGGAATATTGCTGAGTGCAGTGTTAAACACCAAACAAAGTAATAGTCGGCTCGGAACATGCCTGGATCCTACGCTTGTGGCTTCAAGTCACAGATGATGGCACGGTGGCCCAGTCGTCTAAAGCGCCACGATTCGCTGTGCAGAGTTCCCTCCCTTGGGCATGCCACAAACCTATGATTGTGGGTTGGAATTATCTTTCTAGGTTTGTCAGCACCATACCCGTGCTTGTGGGTTTCACCGACGTCTGACACCTGCATCACTTCGGGCTTTCCTCCTACTTAAGCTGACACGCTGTGATATAACTGGAATACTGTTAAAAGCGGCGTTAAACCCAACTCACTCACTTACTCAAGTCATAGATCTGCCCTGATCATGCTGATTATGATTCTGTATTTGTCATGGCTTTGTTCCACAAAGCGATCATAGCACTCAGGGGATAATAACTATTACCACAGGATCATGTAAGTAATAATGATAATAAACAAACTCACAAAAAATCATAAATGATGCCGAAGGCGAGTTTGTTTGTTGTTATTGTTAGTTACATGGCCCTGTGCTATTACACTTTAACATAGGCTTGCGATGGTCTTAGCGCTAAGGTCGCTTTGTGGAACGGGACCCAGTATCATAATTATACTCATAGGTTTCACATCTAAGACCTGCATCAGCACAGGCTTTCTTCCCCCATGCTGACACAACGTGATGTACCTGATATACTTAACCCAACACACTGTATTTGTATTTCAGGTGAGAAAAATTGTAGAGGACACAATGAAAAACATTCACCCAATCTACAATATAAAGGTGGGTACGCTACAGATGTATACATGTACAGTCAACTACCGTTATAACGAATTCAAAAGGACAAATAATGTGAAAATAATGTTAATATAATGGTCAGGCTTCAAATATATTTACCCGCATTTAAATAAGGATGACTCCCTGAATACAATCTGACCTCGGCTTTGGAGGACAAGGCTATTAAATGAATAATGGGGATATGTTTGGTATTCTCACAATTTTCACGTGGAGTATCTGTACCTTTTCTCCTTATGCCAATTGCCATATCTCTCCCACTTTGGGTGCGATTGTTCGCCCATTGAATTTATTTACGTTGCACAGCTGCATCTGTGGGGAACAACTCACTAGACACTTCCCTCTCAAAAATAATGTCATCCAATTTATGACGTTATCAAGGTGTGAGCACATGATGTTTTCAAATCTCCAGAAATGACATCATGATAGAACAATGGTGTATCTTGAAATAAACCATGCTTCGTCCTTCATTTTTCTTTGCGATTTTTCATGTAGCTATCTTAATTTTCTTGTTAAATACCTTAATTTTTTACTGTAAATTGATATACTTAATGCATTGTGTTGCACAGACCCTGCAGGATATCAGCCAATAGGTATTGTGTTTCACATTGTGCAACCTATTGTCATTCTGTTTTCGTATGTGTTTCATATTATTTTTCAATATCATTATTTCTTTTGGGAAGTGGCATCACCACATCAATCTGTTTTTTGTTTGTTTGTTTGTTGTTTAACGCCGCACTCAGCAATATTCCAGCTATATGACGGCAGTCTGTAAATAATCAAGTCTGGACCAGACAATCCAGTGATTGACATCATGAACATTGATCCACGCATATGGGATACAATGACATGCATCAAACACATCAATCTGTAACATTGTTGTTGCAATGGATTTTCTCTTGCACGTAAGTGTGACTTGATTGGATGGTTATTTTTATTATCATGTCATTCAAATCAAAACACAGCTGTGGTAGCGAATGGGTAAATGTATTTATCATAACAAAATATAGATGTTTTGTTTGTTTGTTTTTTAATGCCACACTCAGCAAAATTCCAGTTATGTAACGGCGGTCTGTAAATAATCGAATCTGGACCAGACTATCCAGTGATTGGGATATAATAACATGCATCAACCAGCGCGCCTGACCGCCCGATCCCGTTAGTCACCTCTTACGACAAGCATAGTCACTTCTTACGGCAAGCATGGGTTGCTGAAGACCTATTCTAACCCGGGTCTTCATAGGTTAAAAATATATAGATGTAATTCCCTGGACAAGCAAGGATGTTCAAAATGATGTGATAAAAACTGCATCAGGACCAAAGTTAAAGTAGGTCTCCAGCATCCTAGTGTTTGTAGTTAGAGGTGATGTATGCTCTTCTCAGTCACTCAATTGTCTGGAAGTGGCATTAAACAAGAAACAAACATTTGCATACATTTATGTTACTGCAGACACTAATGATAAAGAGAGAGCTTGCAAAAGATCCAGCCCTTAAAAACGAGAGTTGGGACCGATTCCTGCCAAAGTTCAAAAAGAAGAATGTGAAGAGGAAGAAGCCGAAGAAAGTCCGGACAAAGGCAGAATACACACCATTCCCTCCTCCACAACCAGAGAGCAAGGTAACATTGTACATTCCCTCCTCCACAACCAGAGAGCGAGGTAACATTGTACATTCCCTCCTCTACAACCAGAGAGCAAGGTAACACTGTACATCCCCTCCTCCACAACCAGAGAGCGAGGTAACATTGTACATTCCCTCCTCCACAACCAGAGAGCGAGGTAACACTGTACATCCCCTCCTCCACAACCAGAGAGCAAGGTAACACTGTACATTCCCTCCTCCACAACCAGAGAGCGAGGTAACATTGTACATTTCATCATGTTCATCATGTTCATCATGTCTGGCTGTGTGTTGCAGATGGACAAGGAGCTGGCTAGCGGAGAGTATTTCCTCAAGGAGGATGAGAGGAAGATGAAGAAGGCCATGGAGAGGAAGGTCAGTTTTGTTATACCTCCTTGTCGGGGTTCCTGGGTGCCGTTGTACAAAGCGATCTTAGCGCTAAGGTGATCGTAACTGCCATACCTTAACATAGACTTACGACAGTCGTAGCGCTAAGGTTGTTTTGTACAACGGCACCCAGGTCAGAATGTGCTCCAGCACCCCACTGCTAGGCATATAAGGCATTCCTAAATTAAGAACCTGCATGAATTCAGTATTGGAATCTGCCCCCAGCAACCTGTTCTGGTCATGAGGGGCAATGGATCGGGAGATCAGCCTCAGTGACTTGGTAGATGGCATGTCAGCGTACCCTTACGACATGGGTCATTGGTCATCATATATCACTGGATAGTCCAAAGAGCTAGTGCTCTGTTGTGTGAGGATAAACAATTGTTTTCCTTGTATTCCTGTTTTAAAGTTTACAAGCAGAGATACACTGTTTTATTACGGGGGCACAGGTGGCCCAGTTGTATAAGGCACCACGATTCACTGTGCAGAGTTGTGTCCCTTGGGCACTGCAGAAACCTATGATTGTGGGTTCGAAATCCTGGTTCACCCCGATTATGTTTCTAGGTTTGTCAGCACCATACTCATGCTCGTGGGTTTCACCGAAGTGGAAAACATCTGAGACCTGCATCACTTCGTGCTTTCATCTCACAATTATACCTGGAATACTGTTATTCGGCGGCGTTAAACCCAACTCACTCACTGTTTGTAAACAAAGTAAAGTTACTATTTTAAGTCCTATGTTTTCAAGAGGGATAGTGCTCATTTGCACAAGGAGCGACAACTGTATGCATCAAATTCCTTGTGGAAAGTCAATGAAATAATTCTGTGTATTCCAGAGGGCTAGTGCTCAGTCAGGCAAGGAGAGACAAATAGCCAAGAGGGCCAAGGCATTCATTGCTCCAGAGGAGCCTGTCAGGAAGGTGGTCAAGAAGGACACACCGGACAAGTCAGGTAGATACAGACTCGGACGTTTCAGATAGTTGACATAATTCATGTCTTGTTTCCCATATTTTGGCAATTTTGCCAGTTCTATGATATGCCACAGTACAGAGTTATGTCCCTTAGGTGTGCCATGATCCTATGAATTTGGAATCAAACCCCACATTCATCTTGATTATGATCCTTGGCTTGTCAGCATCATGCATGTAACAGGAAGTAATAAGGGTCTAAGACATGCATCACTTTGGGTTTCCTCTAACATTAAAGTGGACGCTGTGATATAACAGAAATACTGTTTGAATCACTCTCTCTGAAATATTGAATGATTTTCCCACTTGTGTAATGTTATGTACTTTGCTGTGGAATCTGCTAGTCGTTGCACTCCTGATTATGTCTCCCCGAAATGGAGTTTTTTTTGTTTTTGGTTGCTTCCCATTGGCGTTGGCGTCTGCATTGGTGTTCCCATCCAGTTAAGAGCCATATCTTGAAAACCCTGTTTTTCAACAAAACTTGGCAGAACATTGATCATCAGCTTAACTGGTGCCGTTTTCTACTTTGAGATTTTTCGAAATTTTATTTTGTTACATTTCCATGGAAACAATTTGGGCTTAGTCTCAAACATCTCTAGGCATCATGTCCAAGCCATAACTTCATAACCAATAAATATTTATGCATGAAAATATGCATGTGCAATGACCACATGCTGAAATATTGCCTTTCATTTTTTCAATATATAATTTTTTTAATTTTTTCCGTTTCCATGGAAACAATTTGGATTAATGTATAAAAAGGGTCGGTGACATGTAAAAACAAATTCTAGGCAGCATTGTTTCTAAATCCTTGCAGGGGGGGCACGGGTGGCCCAGTCATCTAAGGCGCCGTGATTCCCTGTGCAGAGTAGTGTCCCTTGGGCACGCCAGAAACCTATGATTGTGGGTTCGAATCCCGGTTGGCCCCGATTATGTTTCAAGGTTTGTCAGCACCATACCCGTGCTCGTGGGTTTCACCGAAGTGATAAACGTCAGAGACCTGCATCACTTCGGGCTTTCCTCCCACATTAAGCTGACACGCCGCGATATAACTGGAATACTGTTAAAAGCCGCATTAAACCCAACTCACTCACTCACGCTAAATCCTTGGTCTGTCAGCAGCTCCCTTGCTTGTAAGTTTCGTGAAAGTGGGAAATGTCTGCAAGCTCTCAGGGCTTTCTCCCTACATCAAGCTGACATACTGTGACATTAAAGAATCAATGTTCAAACCAGACTTTAGTCCAATTCAATTAATCCAAATTTACAATTTCCAACGATGATGTGTTTCAGCTGATGTGGACATTGCAGCACTCAAGAGGAAGATAAAGAAAGCTCAGGTCTGTCCTTTGCATTTTCCAATTTTTTCAAATATTTATCATGAACGACATACCCTTTGGGAATATGAGTAATATCAACATTTATAATCTCAAATGTCAAACTCTGCCTGTCTATCCGAATTATTGTTTTAGAAAGTTACAGTAGTTTATCTTTTCCACACTATAAACTTCCCGGTGTGATATCCAAAGCACATAGTAAAAAGGACAATATATATAATGGATGGGATAATTTTTCTCAGTTCAGGAAGAAGTGGACACTAATCAGTAGCAAGTCAGCTTTCATCAAGTTGATTCTTGTAGTGCCCTCTTTGTTTAATTTCAAGTGACACTTGCTGTATTTTATAGAGAATTTGACAAGAGTTAAAGAATATCGAAATTGACATGTGTTTTTTAATAAAGATTCCTCATGAGTTGGAAAGTACATCTAAGGGAAGTAACTCTTCATTGATTGAGGACGCTTTCTCTCTGTAATGCATCAGCCTGTGTGATGCTGTTAAATCTTCTAGAAAGAACACCAAATTATTCCAGTAAAAACGTTGCCAGGAAGGCCATAATAGACTTTTACCAACCTATCAGAAAAGTATCTTCTCTATCTGAAGGTACTAGCCCTATCAGAAAGTTATAATTCCCAAAAGAAAGGTACCAATTCTATCAGAAAGGTACAGACCCTATCAAAACTGAACCATCCCCGTGAGAGAGTTACAATCCCTATGAGAAAGGTGCTGGTTTTATTATAAAGATACTACCTCTATCAGACAGGTTCATTCCCCATGGACCAGTGAAGATTCCGGGGTAGAATAGGTCTTCAGCAACCCATACGTGCCGGAGACTATGCTTGTCTTAAAAGGCGACTAACGGGATCGGGTGGTCAGGCTCGTTGACTTGGTTGATACATGTCATGGATCCCAATTGCATGGATCGATGCTCATGATGTCAGTCACTGGATTGTCTGGTCAAGAGTCAATTATTTTACAGACCGCTGTCATATAGCTGGAATATTGCTGAGTGCAGCGTTAAACAACAAACAAACAAACAAACAAATTCATTCCCCATGACAAGGACACCAGCCTATCCAGAAGTGGGTCTTTCCTTCTTACTGAAATATGATTGTCATAGGTTTAGGGTGGAAGGGAGTCTGTATTGACCTTTATAATATAAGATATGAATGTTCACAATAGATCTACCATCTGTAAAGAAACTAGACACAAAATCTCGATGAAATTCTTGGAAGCAGTGCCTTTCAGAGCTTGTTGCATCTACAAACAGTAGGGCAGTATAGGACACGTATGGAAATATGCTGCTAGTACAAATGTTGATCTTTTTCATTTTACAGAAAAAGAAGATATCATGAAAAAGGACTGGAAAGGATTGTTGATGAAGCATGGTGAAAAGCACAACTGTGGCAATGTTGTAACCCTCGTGTCTGAACAGTGAAGCGCTGTGATTTGGTGACATCACAACCAATCTGGATTCTGCAACAATTGTCCCAAGTTTGAATAGAGTGTATATATGTATATTTCATGAAATCACTGCCTTTAAATTCTTGGCAGTTACTTGCTGTGTTTTTACGACCTTTGTGGCTGGAGACTTCAGAATGTCACAGGGAGACAAGTGGTGGTTTTGTGAAAATAAGAGTATCCAAGTAACTTGGAGTTATCTCCCCTGTGCTGCCGCCAGATGGCAGGAGTGAAGATTTCAGGAGCAGCACTAATGGTGTTCCAATTAATCCATTTCATCAACGTCTAGTCGTATGTCCTCCAACATTGATTAGCCATTTAGGATGCATTAACATCGACCCTGTTTGGGGGGTTTAATGAAAGGTTTGAAACACAACATCTGGGTCGTCCTCCATATTGAGGGACGCTGGGGTAGCCCACTGGTTTGAACATCCGATGGTCAGGAGGAAGGTGGTGTTGGATACAGTGGGTAATCCCATTTTTGGTGTCTCCCACTGTGTTTAAGAAACATACGACTTTATTGATAACAATTTCTTGTTTATTGCATTTACCAACTTCAATATAGATTTGTTCACCATTATCAAGCTGGAGTGACTGCAACCATATAAGGAGAGGTCAATTTTCATGATATCAGTGTTCGAAATAGATATTGGCCAGTAGGTCCGAGGGCGACATATTTGTTTTTGGGCTGATACTTTTAAATTTCAGCAGGCCCTTATGGCCTGCAGTTTATTAAAGTAATTATTGATTAATCATTATTTAAGTAATGTGATAAACATAACTTTCATATTTATAATCAGTAGGATTTGATTTTTCAAATGGTGTATGACATGTAGTTGCAAAATGTTTGTAAGCTGATAATTTCCTGATAAATGTAGGCTTCGTCTATCACAACAGTCTCTGGGAACTCAGTGTGATGGCAGTAAAAGCTTCTGGTTGACGGGTTGTGTTTTGTAATCTATATTTCAAGAGTATGTCTCCCTGCTTCAGCTAAAATGTTTGGGCCTACAGTTTTTCCACTGGGCCTACAGTTTTTCCACTGGGCCTACAGCTTTATTAAATGTGCTGGCCCTTAAGGCTCTGTGTTTACTCTGCTGAGTTTCGGACATTGCATGATATGTTGCGTCTTCCCGAGGCAAGGGAGTTAACTGACTATAAAAGTCCAGTTTCCACCATTGCCGAACTTGGCTGGTATTATGGTGTTACATTTTGGCTGGACTAACGAGTCTTTGCATAGTCCAATCAAGATCGCGCAATGAAATCGAAATCTGGTTCGTAAATTTCATGCAGATTTTGGTTGATTGCAGGATTCGCAAACCATGTGCACCACCAACTCGTTGTCAGCAGATATTTTCTAAATCTTTTCATGTTTTTAATCAAGGTGCTCACGTGATTTGATGCATTTCGCGATATAAGACTTGTTTTATCACAATATAGATCTTGATTATTGATCAGACCGTCCTGACTGGGCGCCACCATTTTGTTTGAAGCAAATGCAAGTAATGCAAGAGGTGGAATCTGATTGGTCAATAGGAGAGGCTTAGAAGTGACATAACTGGTAATAGCCACTGGTGGCGCTACGATCGAGCCCAGGAATTCCAGCCTAGTTCGGCAAGGGTGGAAACTGGACTTTCAAAGTCAGTTAACTCTCTTGCCTCAGGAAGATGGATATGTCGTGATAAGCAGCAGATAACATTAACAACAAGTACAAGATTCCAGGCAGCACATCACTAGGTTGTGGTCAGTCCAGCTTGATAGGAGTGTAAGAATCTACATGGACACATCGCTAGTTGTTATCCATAAAGGTGTATGTTTCTTATTTACTTATCTTATTTGCCAGACAAACTGTTCCCACTTTGTTATTGATGGAATAGTGCAAAAAGCAGTGTAATATATTCACTCGCTCCTCCATATTGCTTAGTGAATTTAATTCCAACTGATATAAAGATGGAAATGATAAAATGGTTTGCTTTGACTTACCAAAGTGGGGGTCCAAGCCCGGGGATAATTAATTTCAAAGGTTCTGACAGATGATATGAGGGTCCTGTTCAGTAATGAAATGGTGTAGATACTGTACTGTACTGTGAGATTTGATTATTATCTTAATTACAGTACATCTATATTTCTTGTCAAGAATTTGACTATTTTGACTTTGAATATTATTTTTTGTTGGCGTCTGCCCCATACATTTGTGTGTAGTTTGATGTACATTTCTGTGTCCTGTAAAACCTGAATGAAGGTTACAATCAGTCTTCAGCCTAATATAATGAAAAATTACTTTATCATCCAAAACTGACTCACAGGCGATATGGCTCGGGTGAGATGAAGCGGAAGCGATATCTACATTGTGGATATCGCTGCAATGAAATTGCATCACAATGCTTTGCAGACCTTTATGATGTCATTGGTTACCATGATGTCACAATCAAATGACATCACTAATGGCTCTGCTACTGAAGCTGTTAGCAGTACTTTTTACACTTAAAACACTGCTTAATTGTCTACAAACAGAAAAAGTTGGAAGAATTGGAGTTTTTCCTCTTTTATCAACTCATGTTGATATATGTGATATCAAAAGACACTCGGATGAGATTCTCTATTTAGGAGTTAGCCACATCATAACTCAGCACTGACAAGGAAGGTAGATTCATACACATATTCGTAGATTCTTGATACTTTTTGCCACACAGAAAGATAACTTAGAAAATTAATCAATTTGTGAAACTGTATATATAGTTCACATCATTTGTTTTGTTCATTTGTTGTTTAACGTCACACTCAGCAATATTCCAGCTATATGACGGCGGTCTGTAAATAATCGAATCTGGACCAAATAATCCAGTCTTTGACATCATGAGCATCTATCTAACCAATTGGGATACGATGACTTGGTTCAACCAAGTCAGTGAGCCTGACCACCCAATCCCGTTAGTCGCCTCTTACGACAAGCATGGGTTGCTGAAGACCATTTCTAAACCGGAATCTTCAGGGGTGTTGTTCCTTTCAAATATCACAAGCAATTATTGTTAATCAATAAATCACTGTTGTATTTATCACATTGTTTGAACCATGTATGCCCAATATATGTGATGATTTGTTCGAATATTAAGAACGCATCCATGGTCTAGTGGTAGAAGGGGCACGGGTGGCCTAGTCGTCTAATTCGCTGTGCAGAGTAACGTCCCTTGGCTACACCAGAAACCTTATAGTATGATTGTGGGTTCGAATCCCAGTTCGCCCTGATTATGTTTCTAGGTTTGTCAACACCATAACCGTGCTCGTGGGTTTCACCGAAGTGGTAAACGTCTGCGACCTGCATCACTTGGGCTTTCCTCCCACATTAAGCTGACACGCCGCGATATAACTGGAATACTGTTAAAAACGGTGTTAAATCCAACTCACTCACTCACTATTCACAGACGGCGATCGTCATATGGCTAGAATATTGCAGTGCAGCCTTAAACAACAAACAAACGTTTCGCCAATTGTTAGTTATACTGGTAGAGTACTCTAAGGAATGTTTTGATACAGAACAAAACTATGTGCATATAAGGACATTTAGATTTGAATGAATTTTGATATAGCTGGAACGTTGCCGCGCTGGGGCGTTCAACATTGATCTGGCTGCACCAGACGCCACCTTCCTCCCTGGCAGCATCTCTTGCATCATCAGACAAGACATCTTGTAATTATTCATCTTTTTAATAAACATATAACAGAGCGAGTGTTTTGATGTGCGATGTTTCACGATCTGTAATTACCACATGTGTTGGAACACCGGAGCTGTGTCAGCTTGTGATGACGAAGAGGTTATGCAGCCTTTTCGTGAATTCAATGCAATAATACATGTAATTTGATACTTCCACGTCCAGCAGTGACAACAGAATTAATGCATTTTGCTCACTACAAACAGGGACGCGTGTAAATCTGAAGTGTCACGATGTAATGTTTTTCGCATCTGGCCGGTTGCAAACTCGTGCCAGAAACCGTTCGCTCTGATTTACACTGGGCTCCTGTCTACTTAAACTAAAAGCGGTAAACTTGCGTAGCGTACAAACAATGGAACCAGTTTAACTCTGATTATGAATCCGGTCTCACCTGCATCATTTCGGACTTTCCTCACACATTAACTCACACGCCTTGATAGGACTGGAAGTGTGCGCGGGTTGCCAAGTCATCTGAGGTGCCGTGATTCGCTGTGCAGAGTTGCGTCCCTTGGGCACGCCAGAAACCTATGATTGTGGGTTCGAATCCAGATTCGCCCCGGTTATGTTTCTAGGTTTGTCAAACGTCTGAGACCTGCATCACTTCGGGCTTTCCTCCCACATTAAGCTGACACGCCGTGATATAACTGGAATACTGTTAAAAGCGGCGTTAAACCAAACTCACTCACTCACTCACTCAAGTGGAGGCTGTGTCGTCCAAAGCGTCGCAGTTCTCAGTGCAGAGTTGAGTCTCGTAGGCTTCTTTCGCACAGAAACCTGTGTATGGGTTCGAATTCCGGTCCGTCTTGAATTTCGTTTTAGGTTTGACAGCACCATACCCCTGCTTGTGGGTTTCATCAAAGGTGTGAACGTCAGACCTGTATCACTTCGGGCTCTCCTCTCATATAGGTGACACACCGTTTGGCCGTTCACATATTACATGTGGCGTCTTCTATAGTAAGAGAATGTTCGACATGTAGTACACTGTAGGATGAGATGGTGATCTGAGCGAACTGAGAGTGAGTGAGTGAGTTGGGTTTAACGCGTCTCTTAACAGTATTCCAGTTATATCACGGTGTGTCAGCTTAATGTGGGAGGAAAGCCCGAAGTGGTGCAGGTCTCAGACGTTTACCACTTCGGTGAAACCAACGAGCACGGGTATGGTGCTGACAAACCTAGAAACATAATCGGGGTGAACCGGGATTCAAACCCACAGTCATAGGTTTCTGGCGTGCCCAAGGGACGCAACTCTGCACAGCGAATTGCGGCGCCTTAGACGACTGGGCCACCCTTGCCCCCGAGCTGAGAGTGACATTTTAGTGCACACTGATCCAATGACTGAGGTAATGATAATGTACCGCCCCAAGTATCCACTTGCTGAAAGGAATGACGTGTTATTAACTGACGTATTATTATTAGTATTCGTATTGAACTGAAATATCCCCATGGAGATTCGGGGTAGAATTGGTCACCAGCAAGCTATGCTGCTCCGAAGAGGTGACTGAATGGCTGGGGTAGATCGTTGCTCACAATATCGATCACTGGGTTGTCTGGTTCAAATCTGGTCATCCACAGTCCACCGTCAAGTAGCTGGATGATCTCTGATGAGGCGTAAAACAAACAAACAAACACATAACTCAAATATTTGTCCAAAGCGGCGTTAAACTCACTCCCTAACAGTGAGCCAACACGCCATAACATAAGTGAATACTGTTCACAGCGGCGTTAAACCAAATTCAATCTCCGGAACACTAATCCAACACGCCATAACAACTGAATACAGTTCAAATGGACGTTAAAACGACGCACTCGCTGACCCCCATGGTCACTGACAGGGCTGAATGGCAGTGTTACTTCGTCCATCTCGTTATAGACTCATCTCGGTCCCAACAACGAATACTAATTAGATCAAGACATACTTCCCCTCGGCACAATGGAGACGCGTCTAACCTTTATTGTAAATATGGGAGTATATACCCACATCAACAATCAACAACAGATTCCATGTAAAGTCGAAAAGTGGGGGCTTGCAATCCCTAATTTGCTTGCCGTAAAAGACGACTATGCGTGTCGTAAGAGGCGACTTACGGGATCGGGTGGTCTGAGTCGCTCACTTGGTTGATGCATGTCATCGTATACCAATTGCGTGGATCGATGTTCATGGTCTCAATCACTGGATCGTCTGGTCCAGATTCGATTATTTACAGACCGCCGTCATATAGCTGGAATATTGCTG